GAGGTACAGAGAGAGAGAGAGAAAGAGAGAGAGATGTCTTCCATTCACTGGTTCACTCTCTAGATGGCTACAATGGCTGGAGCTACACTGATCTGAAGCCAAGAGTCAGGAACTTCCTCCAGATCTCCCATGTGGGTGTGGGGGTCCTTGGGCCATCTTCTACTGCTTTCCCAGGCCATAGCAGAGAGCTGGATTGGAAGTGGAGCAGCTGGGACTAGAATGGGCGCCCCTATGGGATGCTGGAACTGCAGGTGGTGGCTTTACCCATTAAGCCACAGCGCCAGCCCCCTGTTATGTTCTTAACTTTCCCAATTGACAACATTGCAGACATTTGTCCCACTCTTTGTATTTATCTTTTTGGCTGCTCACTTTTCCAACCTTCGACTGTGTGGGCTTTGCTGATCTCAGTCTTTGTACTGCATCTTCAGTCTAATGCTGTGCTGGAGGAAATCCTCAGCTATTCCAAATCCTGGAATGAAACGTGCGTACACTTTCCTCTGGCTAGAGGTTATATTGCTAAAAACACTTTGTCTCATGGAAGATCCTTTTCTGATGATTAGATGAGTGAAAAGTGAGTTTATGTTGTTTTCCAAAACATTAGAATTGGACCTAGAGATAATTATCTTTATATAGAAACTTGTTTTAACCAGAAGTCGAGAGGGAATATTTCTAATGTGATAAGATGCATTTGGAACAAAGAGCATTTCTAGAGCCATTTCCAATTGTATACTTAAAAAGATTGAAAAATATTTGAAAGAGGGAGAGAAAGATAGACACTCTGAGATCTTCAATCCACCGGGTCATTCCTCAAATGCCTGCAACAGCCTGGGCTGGCCCTAGATAAATCCAAGAGTCCAGAACTCAATCTGGGTCTTCTAAGTGGTGGTAGGAGCCCAAGTACTTGAGCCATTACCTGCTGTTCCCACTGTGTGCATTAGCAGGAAGCTGAGATTGGAAGCCAAGCCAGGACGCCAACCTAGGCACCCTGATAAGGGATTGGGGCAGCTCATGTGGCATCTATACTTCTGGGCCAAATGCTCACCCCTAATTCCATACTTATGTTTACTGATTGCATATGGTACATGTGAGACTGCAGTTGTTTTCTTACTAGGAAAGCAGCTTTATCCATTTGTAGAAACTAAACTTGTCAAGTCACCAGTGTTTTCATTTTTCCAAATACAGTGATAATTGATTAGTCTTCTTGTTTGACTGCTTTTGACACAATTATTACTGTTTCCCTGTTGAAACCTCTTCCCATAATTCCAGGTTTAACCTATGCCACAGGCTGGTGCTACAGCTCACTAGGCTAATCCTCTGCCTGCGGCGCCGGCACACCCGGGTTCTAGTCCTGGTCAGGGTGCTGGATTCTGTCCCGGTTGCTCCTCCTCCAGTCCAGCTCTCTGCTGTGGCCCGGAAGGGCAGTGGAGGATGGCCCAACTCCTTAGGCCCTGCACCCACATGGGAGACCATGAGGAGGTATCTGGCTCCTGGCTTCTGATCAGTGCGGTGCGCCAGCTGCGGTGCGGCCATTGGAGGGTGAACCAATGGTAAAGGAAGACCTTTCTCTCTCTTTCTCATTGTCCACTCTGCCTGTCAAAAAAAAAAAAAAAAAAAAAAAGCCTATGCCACAGCGCCACCCTCCCTCCCCCTAGTGAGTTCTTATACCTCCTCTTCCTATATTACTCCCTGAATAATTTCACTTGGGATTTTGGCTTTTACATGTTATTGTTGAGCTAGTGTCTGCTGTATCTGATTTGCTTGTCAACTTTCTTTCTAATTGTCTTTTGAATCATCAATAGGTATTTCTGACTTACATCTCCAGAACTGCAGTCCTGATCTTTCTTTCCAATCTATTACTTCTTAGGTCTTTTACATCTCAATACATAACAGCTTTGCCCCTTACATTGCTCAGTTCAAATGCATGGAGTCAATCGTGGCTTATTTCTCTCTCTTCCAGGAATTTCATTTTTTCACAGTTGTGTTTCAAGCACAAAAAAACAATGTCTGGTACCTAGTAGTCACCGATACATAGTCTTTGAAGAAGTGAAGTGCAGGTACTAATCGCAGAGAAGGTGAATTGCAATTTGATGCCCAAAGGGTAGAAATTAGTGATGCTCTTGGGAGAACCGAAGTTCTTTGTTTACTTACTCTCATCAGCATTACAGGGAGGTAGGTTTTGGCATGTCTTGAAACAATTTGGGTAACATAATGCAAGTTAATAGAGATCATATGCTACATTTTTGGAATATCAAGCCAGAGCATGATTACTTTATGCCTCATTACTTAATGATGAACATCACTCTCATTTCTCAAGTTTCTTTTTCTATCCCCAGTTGTCACAAAACATGTACTCAGTGATTATTTTTTAATGAATTATTCCTATTATATGTTCTCTTCTAAAATCTGTTACTTTCCTTATGTTTTGTAGATCTGTTAAGAGTACTGCTTTATATGTAAACAACAAATTGGGGGGGGGGCCTATAATCTCATTTATTTTAACTCATTCTCATCAAATTCTGTTTTTCTTTACACTTCAAAAATTGTTCAAATCCTAGTCTTGTTCACTGTAGTTACTTCTACACTAGCTTCTGAACTTGAATCTATTATCTATTATTGTTCTTCCTTTGCATAAAATACTTAAGATTTTCTACTATTTCCCATTGAATTTGAACTTTGTGGCTCAACACACAAGACTCCTCTGTCCCTACTTTTCTTATCTAACCTCATATGTATTAACTCCTTCTCCAGCTCCCTCCCCTTACAAAGTAATACTCATGAAATTTGAATTTGTGGTAATTCTTGAATGGGCCATGTCTTTGTATAATGTTAATTCTTCTCCTTAGAACATCCTGTCCACTTCATCAAGCCACCTTCCTATTGATCCTTGAAGCAGGACTGTTATTCAGTGGTCTTTTTTCTTCTTTAGTGTCTCTGTATTCCTATCCTATGCCAAACATAACTCTTATATAGCGCCCATTATATTTTAATTATTGTACCTAGTTGGCCTCATTGGGACAGATGACACATCCCAATTATTTTTGTAGTTCTAGATCCTTTTCTTAGTGTTTCCAGTAACTGATTGGGATTTCATACATTCTGGACTGGCATCATCATCTGTTGGGGTGGTGAATGAATATTAAACCATGTCATACTACAGGACTGTAAAACTTAATATATGTGTTAAAAGCCGAGAGGCATTCTTTGGTCTTTGTCTTCATTACAAAATTTTTCGCCTGTAAAGGACAAAAATATTTTGGTGACTGTATATTTGGACATATGCTTGCTTGATAGAAACTAACTGAAGAGCTTTTGTTGGCCATTGTAATGGGAAATTTTTATTGGAATTGAGAAATAATTTTATAAATTCAACTTAAGTTCATTATTTTAATTTCCTTTTCTATTCTTCTATGGAGAATTACCCTTTTGAATATTTCCTAGACATAATCTGGATTATGTTTCTTCATTTATGACACTGTTATCTACATCTTACTTTCAGGATACTATAATCTACATATCTTTCCATTGAGTTGAAATATGCTGCTAATTTTTATGTTGCTTGTATTTGCTGCTTTCTTTGAGTTGCCTGTAATTCGTGTACTTCTAGAAACCAGATGACTCGGACTGATTTACTTTCTCAGAACGTAGAGAAACATTATATGCTCTTTGAGATCTTTTAAAATTACATAGCATTGCTGGGCAAAAAATCTGGGTACAGGGTAATGACTGGCAAGGGAGTGCAAGGAAAACATTTTAAACTTTTTGACATGGACTGGTTACAGCTGAGTGAATGTACATTGCAAAGGTAAACTCTGTTTTAAGTTTTGCTTTTTTGAGAAGTATGTTTTCCTTTTTGCTCTTTCTTCTGACTTATTTTCCACCCTTACTTTAAGCAATCTTATGTTTTGACAGTAGAGACATGCTGGTCAGATTTTTGTATTTTAGATATCAAATATAACAATTACTATATATTTCAACCAGCAGGAATGAGACCCCTGTTGGTGTCTTAATCTAAAAATGGCACTTTAAATTCATATAAAACCTAGCCTTAAGGGATGGAGAAAAGACAATTTAGGGACCAGCATGAGGTTAAACATATTGATCAGTAGTCCAGTAGTTTTTGCTAGACTTTGGGTAGAATGTAGACTTGGAAAAATAACATTATCAACAACCACAAAGAATACTTTGCTGCTCTAGAGGGAATCTTTTTTGCTTCCATTGTATGGATTTTAGATGATGAAAGATACAGTTCAGCCAGGGGTAAAGGTAGAGGAGTTGAAAGCTGGAGTGTCAACATGAACTGAGAAATGTTGTGATTTTTAATTTTCATAATCTATAGTGTAATCCTTATATTAAAGCATTTTGTGAACTATATAATTTATTTCTGTGCTAATAAGCAACATACAGTAATTTAGAATCTTTGCCAAAATGAAAGAAGTACTACCTGGTCAATTAACTTTCAGGACTTAATTATGCAGTGTTCATTACATAGTTTTTAGGTCTAACAATCCCATTAACCACATTTAGGACTCTGTTTACCTTCAAGTCTGTGGGACTTTGGATTTCTCTGAATGAATGGGGAATTGTTTTATTGCCCTATTCTAAATATTATCCACCCAGTTGATATTTAGTTTTTAACTGGGATATGTTCAGTTTCTGATGTATACAAATGAAATGATATTATTGGAGAAAATCCCAACTTTTGGTTTAAGTGCATTTTTTTAATGGAAGGATTCCAATGGCTATTGTTTCTTCATTTCCCTTTCACCTTAATAACCTCCAAATAAGTAGGAAATAAAACACTCCAGTGAAACTATATTTCTTCTTTAATTGGTATTTGACCAAATTATTTTACTTAGAAATCCTTGTTTTAATAAGTTGTCCTGTGAGAGAAGATATTTGCTGTTACTTGGGGGGAAAAAACCTTTTTTTTTCCCCAATTTTGTTACTCTTTGTTTAATGTTGGAAATCAAGTCTGTGTCTCACTGTGTAATCTGTTGTAGGTAGCTTGTATGCAGCTCATCAATGCCCTTGTTACATCTCCTGATGATTTGGACTTCAGGCTTCACATCAGAAATGAATTTATGCGCTGTGGATTGAAAGAGATATTGCCGGTAAGTGCCCTGCAGTCTCCTTATTAATATTTAAATTAGAAGAGTACTTGAGAGGGGGAAATTTAGATAAATTACCTTCAAGAATAATTTATCTGTGGGAAAAGCCTTGAGTATAAAAATGTATTTCTGAAATGTAGATATGATTATTGTTTAACAGTTTAAATATTAAATATAAATCAAGGTGAATGGTTGGTTTATTGTTTATATGTTTTTCATTAATTCTTTTGCATAATTAAAAACAAAATCATTCATCATAATTTCTATTTAATATCTCTAGAATTTAAAACGTATTAAGAATGATGGCCTGGATATCCAACTTAAAGTCTTTGATGAGCATAAGGAAGAAGATTTGATTGAGTTCTCCCATCGCCTCGAAGATATTAGAGCTGAACTTGAATATCCTTTTGTTTTGAACATTAGTCAAGTAATCTGTAAAATTACTGCTAAATCCAAAACAACCATGTCCCCTAAAATATTTAACCCACTTCATGTAAACAGTACAAAATGAAACATTTTTGTATCAGAAGAATATTGTTTATTCAGCTAATTTGTGTTTTTGTGACTCTGTACATATTTAAATGGAAGTTGCTGTTAACCAATCGAATCTACTGAACTGACTTCCTGTGTATATTTGTTCAGTCTTTTTTTTTTTTTTTTAATGTTTGGCACTTTCTCTCCCTTTAATGTAGCATTAAAAATAGGTAACCTCTGCCTCCAGGGTGTGTGTGGTGCAGACTTGTATGGGCCCCATGTTAATTTTGTGTTTTGCAGATGTCTGTATTCCTGAAAACCATCAGATTCCTAATCTTAATCCAGGCATACTTATGGTAGATGATGCCTACCACCAGCTCTGGTCAGTTTTCAGTGTGGTATTCACAATACAGTATTCACAATGGGCTATGCGCTGCCTTTGTGCCCAGCAGCATTTTTGCTTAGGGTAGGCAGGTAGGTTGTAGAGGGGAAGCCAGCAAGTCTCAGATCAAGTTGCCATTTCCAACACTTTCCCCTATAGTCAAATCTAAATACCTGTGTTGAATGTGCATGATGTCTAGAGTAGAGGAAGATAAACGGCAGTCTTTCAAAGCCTCACGGTACAGAGTCTGTATCATATTATTATAGCTGTTAGGTACAGAGTACACATAAATGTATCTATTCCTTAATCAACTTACTGATGCCCATGATGTTTACAACATGTTGTGGAATACTGTTAAGGAAACTGAAGCAGAGGGATATTTTATATCTATTCTTCAGCATCTTCTGCTGATTCGCAATGATTATTTTATAAGGTAAGAGGAAATTATATTCCAATGTTTTCTTTTCCTAAAAAGAACTATTATGAGATTCACCTGATATTTGATTTGGACAAGCAAAAAATTTTTATTCCTATTATAACATTTAATAATTGAATGCTTCCCCAGGGCATACATTTAGATAGATGCTGATAAAATGATCTTACTATTACCTTTTAAGCTCCAGTGATTTCTTGGCTACAACCTTTCGTCTGTGTAAAAATTCGAGGTAGCAACAAATTACTAGTTTATCATGTGAAGGATAATATTTTCTCCTTGTTCCTTAGGCAGCAGGAATGAAGTTGATAAGTTTCTTTTTATAAGTTACATGAAGGGTACTAAACATTGCTTTTATTTGTGCTTAAGTAGGTAGAAAGTGCCTTAATAACATAGTTATGTTCAGTGTTTCTACCATATTGGAAAAGTTATATAAATGGCTTTTCTGGTTAGATTATATCCTAGCCAACTGAGCTTAATAAATTGTTTATCCTCCTTTCTCTACCTCTACTGCATCATAATGTAGCTATTTTTCGATATTAGCACCTAACTAATGGGCACCTTCTGAAGTTGAATGTGGGTGACAGGTAAAAATCCTAGCCAAGTCCCCAGCATATGCTGTATGCTTAATAAATGTTCTCTGATTCCTCTTTCCATCTTTGTTAATATTTTATGAGGGGAAACAGATCTTTGAATGAAATTTCAGCAGTGTTTCCACACATTTATACTTTGCTGAAATTTCATTCTAGCAGGACGTAGAGTGTGTCTTTTCCTACTTAATTTCAAGTGGAATGATTTGTTAGATCAGCCTCACTCAGGCTGTGTCCTCTCCGGGATGTCAGGCATTGTAGCACAATGGATTTTGATGTACCTAACAAGAGAAGAGAATGAGAAAAATTTAGATTCTTGAGTATTAGTCATACTTCAGACTTTTTTCCTTTTGTTACAACAAATCTCATTGGTATTCCAAGGTTTAGTAGTCTGTTATGAAATTTGATTCTTTTTTATATTTTGTTAAAATATCAAAATATTTTTGTTAAATAATATAACAGTGTAATGATTGAACCACTTTATAACTGCTAGATAAAAATACTAATAAAATCAGTTTTAAATATTTTGGGGTGTGCTTCTAATTATGCTACTGTATTTCTATGAAAAATTAAACTGAAGTTTCAGTTTCATTTTTAAGTAATGCCAAACTTTTTTTTTTTTATTTGACAGGTAGAGTTAGCCAGTGAGAGAGAGAGAGAGAGAGAGAGAGAGAGAAAGGTCTTCCTTCCATTGGTTCACTCCCCAAATGGCTGCTATGGCTGGTGCTACGCCGATCCGAAGCCAGGAGCCAGGTGCTTCTCCTGGTCTCCCATGGGGTGCAGGGCCCAAGGACTTGGGCCATCCTCCACTGCCCTCCCGGGCCACAGCAGAGAGCTGGACTGGAAGAGGAGCAACCGGGACTAGAACCCGGCGTCCATATGGGATGCCGGCGCCGCAGGCGGAGGATTAACTAAGTGAGCCACGGCGCCAGCCCCATGCCATCCTTTTCTTAGTATATGTTTGCTTCTTTCCACCTCTGGTTGTTTGATGGCATTTTAATAACTCATAGTTCAGGACTGCTATTTGCTTTCAGTGGTTTGAATGTTCCTCTAGTGCTACAGGGGTTGTATCTTCCTTAGACTCTAATCCCTGTATGCTCCAAGAGGGCGTGTAGTTGTGTTTAGCTTCAAAACAGTAAAAAGCACCACCATCCTGGTATGCTGAGGGGACTCTGTCACTTTAGTGGAATCAAGCATCTCAAAGAAATACATTGTAGTGCTACCAAAATAACACTGAATGAGCTGTAGACTTCTAGCTATCTTTAGAATATCAACTTTTACGTTTGATGCTCATCTGTGTTGATTCCTACCTCTGCTCTTTAAGGGCCATGCCCTTGGTCTTGATTCTAAGTAAGTTTGCTAAGATGGCAGTGATTCTCCTAAGACTGCTGTCCTCAGAAAAACTCACACTTTCATAGTTAATGATTGTTGTCATTACTTATCCTTAAAAAGATTTTATACCTTCATTGAAAGGTTGTGTCAGAATTGTGGTCATTTACATATTCTTTTTTTTTTTTAATTTATTTATTTTTGACAGGCAGAGTGGGCAGTGAGAGACAGAGAGAAAGGTCTTCCCTTTTGCCGTTGGTTCACCCTCCAATGGCCTCCGCAGCCGGCACAACGCGCTGATCTGATGGCAGGAGCCAGGTGCTTCTCCTGGTCTCCCATGGGGTGTAGGGCTCAAGCACTTGGGCCATCCTCCACTGCCTTCCCTGGCCACAGCAGAGAGCTGGCCTGGAAGAGGGGCAACCGGGAAAGAATCCGGTGCCCCGACCGGGACTAGAACCCGGTGTGCAGGCGCCGCAAGGCGGAGGATTAGCCTAGTGAGCCGTGGCGCTGGCCCCATTTACATATTCTTTTTGTCATACTTTATCTTTAGAAATTTTATTGACTTAGTTTTTTTTTTAATAGAAGGTAAAATTCTTTTTTACTGGTAAACAGTTCTATTAATGTTGTTCTTTTGGTTTTAACCTCATTATTTGGTGTCATAGAATTCAGATATACCTGGATTTTAGCTGTCCAGGAATTTTAGGTGACCTGAACATTTTAAATACTTTTGTTATGAACAAACATAATTTTTCATTTGTTATAAATTGTAAATTAACTCTTTCCTTGCAGAATACAAAGTGTTCTTTAAATGATTTCATGAATGGGAAATTAGAATCTTTGCTCATCTTCAGCTTTGGCATAAAAAAATAGAACATGATTGGAGAATGTATGTCAATGGCAGACTTTATTTCTCAGGAAAAAGCAGGGACAAGGGGCAGGAATGAAATGCAGCTTGGTAGCTGGATGATGGATAAGATCAAATTCCATTCTGCAGCAAATAATTAATGACTTACAATGACCACGTACAAAATTCCATGCTAGTTGAATGTGTGTTGGAGACGGTTTTCAATATTTGCTAAAAATACCGTAGAGGCAGTTGTTTGGCAAGTGGTTAAGTTGCTCCATAGGACACCTACATCATATTTCTAAATGCCTATTTTCAATCCTGGCCATTCTGCATCTGTTCCAGCTTCTTGTTAATATGCACTCTATGTAGATGGTGACTCATGTACTTGGGTGTGGGTCCCAGCCATCTATCTTTGTGTGAGACCTGGATTGAGTTCCATGTTTCTGGTTTTGACCTAACCCAGCACTGGCTGTCTATAGAAATTTGGAGAGTGAACTGGGAGATGGAAGATCTTTAAAGTAAAATGAAAATAAATATGTATTTTGAAAAATATGAGAGTAATCAAAGTTTATTTCAACACGTCTTCCAACAATCTTGATATTTTTTATTAGTGAGGTAATAACAATTTATTTTTATCCCTTAATGAAGTTGTTCATATACAAGTATTCCTGATGCATTCACTAACTCACCAATAATGCTTACAGAGATTGTTCTGAAATCCAGAAATACATTATTCTTTGCTACTATTGCCTCCTAAAAGTTTGTTTGCATGAGATTTTAGCTACATAATAAAATAACTTACAACTGAGCATTGTAGGGTTCACAGAAACATTTGCTAAAGGTATTAAAATTGACATGAAATAGCTTGTGTTTTAAAAATTAAAATGTTTCAAATAGCATGAAAATAATAGAAGAAAAAAAGGAATACAATAAATTTTTCAAAATTTCAAGTAAGACAGATGTAAATGTATGACCCTAAGTTTAAGTGGTCATATCTTTTTAGAAGTCAGGAAAATTAATTTGGAGAAGCATAGATAGCACTTTTCTTTCATTTGTTCCTGGGAATCTTTTCTTGAACATTTTTACTTATGCCAGTAAAGGTTAGTCATCTTTGCTGATGGTAAGCTGCGGTAAATTTTATCCAGCAACAATGAATGGCTTTACTAAGTTTAAGATAAGTAGGTCAATGGCAGTAAGTAATATTTCACATGGCCCAGATGGCTAGAGAGGCCAGCCACTTACATGATCTGGAGGGTTTGGGAAGGAAAAGTGTGCTAAAAACACTGAGGAAAAAAAATAATGTCTAGGGGATTCCTGGGGGTGAGGACTGTATCTTATTAGAATACTACCACCCTGTCCATTGTGAGTTTTTTAGTGAAATCTTTCTTCTATTTCTTTCACACGTGGTGGCTTGAATATTCAGAAATGTTCTTTAACTTACTATAAATGGACTAAATTTAACTTTTTTGACACCATGAAGCATGTTTGGGAGTTTTAGTTATATTTTGAATTTTAGACAATTATTGCTATTATTTTAAGTGCTTCTGGTTTTCATTTAAATAAGAAACATTTTATATTATATAATTTATAGTATTGTTTTTTTATGCTGATTCCATATTTTAAAAATGATATATTGTATGGTTTGAACTTTCCATAGCACTCTTTGGAAAAGATTTTTTGTTTTCCTGGCTTGTATTAATTAAATGAATTATTGGTAGCTTCTTCAGTGTAGTATAGTGGAAAGCTGATGGTCTCTTAGGGACCACTCTTAAGAACATAGTGCTTCATCTTAATCTGTTTCTTTATGCCAGCTAATTAAGTCAAGGTCTGACTTTTGTAAGGAAATCATCTTGAGAGCTTATCATATGAGAGTATTTCACAAAGTTTGTGGAAAAGTATAAGTGAAAGATAAGTTTATTTTGGTCTAAAGATAATTTGAAATCCTTGTGAAGCTTTTTTATAATGGGCATTTTCAGTGAACTTTTAGAAAACCATGTGTGCATGAATTTCAGAGCTTTTTTGTACCAAAATAAACTTATCTTTTAATTGCATTCCCACAAACTTTTTAAAAATACTTTTACTTCATAGATTTTAAAAATAAAATATTTTGAAATAATTAGAAGAATGGTTATGATTCTATTTTCTCTCAGTCTCATTTCTAATCTGTTATGTCAGTTGTTGAAACTATATAAATGACAAATTAGAGAACCTGAAATCTGCAAGTTTACCAAAATATTTTGTTTTGATGTAAGTTACACTAATGAATTGGGTGTTCATTGACTCTTTGCTTTGGTTTTAGGCAACAATACTTCAGATTAATTGATGAGTGTGTATCCCAGATTGTTTTGCATAGAGATGGAATGGATCCAGACTTCACATATCGAAAAAGACTAGATTTAAATTTAAGTCAGTTTGTAGGTGAGTCTATATATTTTTTCAACGGATATATTTTACTGTCTCTTCTTACATGGCTTAGGTCTAGGGTATTGGTTGTCATGGGATGGTCTGTGGACTTCTGAAAGCCCGTGACACCCTTTTAGTGAGTCACTTAATAGTCAAAATCATTTATAGAAATTATTGGCCTTTTTTGTGTGTTGACATTTTATACTGATGATACAAAACAGTGGTGGATAAACTGTTAGCATTTTATTATGAATTAAAGCAGTGGCACTAGTTTGTAGTAGGTAGTGATCATTAATTTGTTAAGACAAGAAAATGATTTTTTTGGCTTAAGAATGATCCTTATAAGTGTATTGACTCTTGAGTAACATATTTTTAATATTCTGTGTTAGCAAATGGGCTATATACTTCAAGTACTTCTGCTTCATACCAAGAAATGATTAAAAAAAAACAATGTAACTGGCTGTTTTCTTGCTTTGAAATACTGGTTTTCATATATGTAACTTTCAGTTTCACATATACGTTCTTAAAAATGAAATAAAGGGAGCCTGTACCTCAAAGAAAATGATTGATAGAATTTGCTGCCAAGAAGAAAATATTTGAATTTTTAAATTTTGTATCTGCTACTCTCAGCTTGATAACTTATCAATAATTTAAAAAAAGTTCAGATGAGGTCAAAGATGACATTAATATCTGTGATTATTTTGCTATTATATAAGGAGATAGGTCAACATTTTGAATTGCTAGCTGAACAAAAATGCATATTTAAAATTTTAGTACAAACTACCTAGTTTTTCATCAGAAATTTCTCATTTATACTTCTAATATTGTGTTAAGGGAGTTTGATGTTATAGATTGATCAATCTTTGCTATGATTTCTTATTAAAAATTTTATATTTTCATATTAGGGGAAGCAAATATTCATATGATTTAGTAAGTTTTTTCTAATTTTTTGTTCATCACTTTGGCCTGCTTTCTCCTCTTGTGCTGGCCATCAGCTTCTCTTCCTCTTTCAGAATATATATAGATAAGGGAAACCTGCATATTGTATGGTACAATGAAACTTTTTGTCTTGCTATATAGAAAATTGCAGTTGTGTTTGTCTTTTCTTTTATATTTTTTATTTTTTCTTGTCATGTGTAGAAAAGCTTTCTCCATTCCAACATTATAATTTTCAGCATTTTATTCATCATATTACTGCCAGTATTTATAAGTCTTCTATGATGTTTTCTTTCTGAACCTGTTATACAATGAATGTGGAAAGCTCTGGAATTAAGTCTTTACTATGATTTTAATTTTAGATGTTTGCATAGATCAAGCTAAACTGGAAGAATTTGAAGAGAAAGCTTCAGAACTTACCAAAAAAGTGAGTGAGTAACTTTGCAAGGCTGTGTGGGAAACCACTGTAGGCTTGGTTCTGTGGACTTGGCCAGTTTTTCTTTCTTATTTGCCGCTCTCAAGTATGTGCACGAATGACTTCCTCTGAGAAACACTTCCAAGAACATTGAAATCTGTGCATAAAAAGGTCTTAAAGTTCACAGAAAATGCATATTCTAAGGAAATCTGGATTTTAAACTGTTGTGCTCCAAAATAAACTTTTCTTTTCCATAAACCTTTTGAACTATTTTTTTGAAAGTGATAACATTCCCCTCCCAACCTTGGATCTGCCTATTCTTCCTTTGCTTTTGTTCCCTTCCATCTGACGTGCGACATAGTTAATATATTTGTATGAGGACATGACTGTATTGTTTCTTTCTCTGGGGAAATTTTATTAGGGATTTTTTCCTTGTCTTACTCCCTATCCGTGAACCAAGAAGAATCTGGTCCTGTGTAAAAAGAATGACAAAAGCAGCAAAATTCTTTTTGAATGAGTGAATGAATAAGTGATTGAATAAAATATACAGAATTAAAATTTGAAGATTGAGGTAATTCTTAAGAAATCATATAGGTTAAATCCTTAAAACTGAAATCTTAATTAAAATTTTAACAGAAAAAGTTACTTTTATTTTGATTAACACTATTATAGCAAGAAGAGCTATATGAAATTGCTGCTTTTTGAAGTCAGAGAGAGTGATTGAGATATTCTGTCTTCTATCTGCTGTATTATTCCCCAAATGCCTGTAACAAGGGGGAATAGGTAATGAAGCCAGAAGCTAAGACTCTTCTCTCACATGGATGCCAGGGACCCCAGTCCTTGGGCCATCACTTAAAGCCTCACAGGGTGTGCAAGTCAGAAGTGGTTCCAGGACTTGAAGCCATGCACTCTGATATAGGATGTAGACATCCCAAGTGCATTGGAACCACTGTGCCAAATGCCTGCTCTTGCTTTGTCCTTTTATTAGAATGTTACCTGTTAAACTTTTTGTTAATTGGGTTCTTTACATTTCATTTAGTAACTCTGATTTCTTGCAGCCGGTTTGTTACCTTGAAGGCATGATAATTATTATTACTGCAACCAAGCAGGGAACACTTACGAAATGAACATTATGGTGTGTTAAACAACATGCCAAGGAATGTACATTTTTTATGTAGCAGATCCTAAATGTATCTTGAGAGAATTGTGTATGACTATAAACTCTGAAGATGAAACATGTAAATGATAATCATCCTTTCATAAGTTACTTCTAACTTATGAAAAACATTGTAAATGTCCTAAGGCCTAAAGCTTTGAGTTTACCACACACTTATTGAGAGGATGTGATAATCCCAGGCCTTTGGCCACATGCTAGGATTCCAGATAAGAAGATGATGTTGTCATTGCCCTGAAATAACTTCGTTTAGTGTGGGAATCAAATCAATGGATCTTGTAAATTAAGTGTCTTAAATGATTCGGTCCATAGATGCTTGTGTTCTAAGAGGGCATTCCCCTCAACCCCTAATCCACTTTTTATATTAAGCATGGTAACCACTTAGGCTTTTCATGGGAAAGTACAGGCTGAGCATCTCTAATCCAAAAGTTTGAACTGTGAAATGCCCCAAAAATCTGAAACTGTCTTAGTCCCAACATAACACAAGTAAAAAATTACCCAGCTGACCTCATGTCAGTCAAGATGCAGATATGTTGGAAGTGTTATGTGTCTACAAATATCAGATATCCAAAAAATTCTGAAATACAAAACACTTTGGTCCCAAAGGATTACTTAACCTGTATAAGTAAACTTTTAAGTCCTCGATTGGGATGCATCCTTGAAGGTATACATTTGCTTTTGTTGTCATTTCTAAATATGCAGTATATATGAAGGGAGTTTTTTTTTCAACTTTTTCCAAAAAGTGCTAAGCTTTAAATGTAAATAAAAGAAAGACCTTGTTCAAGGTTAGTTGTCTTTTTTTTTTCTAGTCAGAGATTATATGTCTTAAGTATATTCAGAAAATACTGTTTGCTCCATAAAAGGTTTCTATTGCCATACCATTTTGTATATATCAGCAAAAACTTTGCTCTGATCGTTTTACACGGACACATGTAAATACTTTGCTTTAGGCAGGAAGCTATCATAGTTGCTAGACACATTCTTTATTTTGGTGCATAAACTTGAAAAATGAAGACCAGAAATGTCAGAAAGTATATAGAGAATATTGAATTATCAACCTTCTTGTACAGATGCACTAATACATTTACCCTAGGGAATAAAATTAGGCAGAACCTCAACATTAACTGTGCTTCTTGACATTTTTGCGTGTAATTTTGTAAGTGCAATACTGCTCTTCTTGGAGAAGGCCATCATACTGGTTTTTATAAGGTATTCTTCTAATGGAGATTTATTTTATCCCCAAGGCTGCAGGCATTTTTGTGTAGGTATTACAAAAATGGTAAAGCAAAGTTTATATTTTTTCTAATCTTTTTATGGGGAGTGTGTGGGAATTTTTCTTATTTAAAAAAAATTTAAGTACTATCAGTATGGCCAAGTTTAGCTATAGTATTACAAATTATTACTGTGGTTGTTTTGGTAGTTTTGTCTTTGGTCTCCTAAATAAAACTTTTCCTTCTGAATTTTAGTCTAGAGTCTATAAGATCAGATAGTGGACATATTAATATTTTGGAAAGGCTTCTTCAATTTTTTAAAGATTTATTTATTTGAAAGGCAGTTATAGAGAGGGAGAGAGGAATAGCCAGAGATCTATCTTCTGGTTCACTCCCTGAACGGCCACAGTGGCTGGGGCTAGGCCAGGCTGAAGTCCTGAAGTTGGGAGTCTCCACATGGGTGACAGATTCCCAAGTACTGAGGCCTCCACTGCGTTTATAAATGCAACATCAGGGAGCTGTTTTGGGAGCCTAGAAACTGGGACTTCAACCATGGTTCATATGGGATTCTGGCATCATAGGTGGTAGTCTAATCCTTGCTACATTGCAAGCCCTGGCTTCTTCATTCTTATTAGCATGATAATGTTTTGGGATTGACATGATGGGTTAGCAAGTTAAGTTGCCTCTTGGAGTAGACACCAACATCCCATATCAGAATACCTTTCTGAGTCCTGGCGACTCTGCTTCCCATCCATCTTTCTGCTAGTGTTCCTGGAAGGGCAGCAGAGGTAGGATCAAGTGCTTGGGCACCTGCCACCTATGTGGGAGGCCAGGATGGAGTTCCTGAATTCTGGCTTTGGCCTCAGCCATACCTGACTGTTGCCATCATTTGGGGAGTGGACCACTGGAAGGAAGATATCTCTCTGCTTTCAAATGAATAATATATATATTTTAAAAAGAATTTAATATCTCATGTATTGGTATGTGTATAGCACTGGACATTGTTTTCATTGTTAAAAGGAATTTAACACCTCTAAGATTGTTGATACTGGGAGGGTGTGATCTTGATTCTACGGACACATTCTCCTTACAAAATGGGGTTGACAGGAGGTGGCTCATCACTTCTTTTCACAAATACTGACTTTAATTATACATGGAAGGCACTGGCAATGTACTGAACAGAAAAAATTCTCATTTCTTTGAACTTCCATGTCAATGAGTGTGATTTAGATGTGCTGTACTGTGTTCTTATACTTTTTTTTCTCAGTGTGATAATCACTAATTGTTGTAGTAGAAAAACCTTTATGTGGTGTGTAAACCTAAAGGAAGGATTCCTTACTAAGAATTCGGCAGCCAGAGAAGACTTAAACTAGAAAGTGATATCTTATATGAGCACTGAGGGTCAGTATGAGAACTTGAGATATCAAAGAGGTCAATGTATTTAAATTTATTTTGAATTTTCTTTGTCTCAAGCTTCCTATGTCTAAAACCAAATTTACTTATGTTCTCCCTAATATCTTTCTTCCTCATATTTTATGTAGTATTTTTCCCCTCTAAATTGCAACACTTTGTTTCCAGCTTGCAAAAACACTGTAGATCTCTTAGATATGTCCTCCCTTTGTAAGTTTCCTTCATTCAGCAAACCACTAACTTTTTCGGATGCCACAGTCTGATTGCATTTCTTTTCTATTACCCTTTCCTCCACCTCAATTCAGGCGAGCCCTTAGTTCTTGCCTGCAGAACTGTAGCAGCCTCCGAACTCATTTCCATGCCACATGTACTGCTCTTTTAGTCCATCTTCCACATTGCTGTTTTTTAGATTTGTCAAAGTACAAATTTGATCATGTTATTTTCTTAGTATATATATTCTGAGTACTCTCCATAGTTCTTAGAAAAAAGCAATAACTCTTTGACTTACTGCAAAATTCCTTTCAACAATTTCATTCCTGTGTACATCTCTTACTTCGTCCCCTGCAGTTTGTTCTCAAATCTCCTTTGTACTCCATACGAAGGACTGCTTGTCATTCATCCACATGCTGTACTGTCCCTCACTTGAAATGCTAGCAATGTTTTCCAGTTAACTCTGCAAGTTCTTCAGATCTCATATTAAGCATCATTCCTCCTGGAATCACTTATTAGCGTTCAGTATCTCTTTCTTTCTCTTTTGTTGTTGGTAGTTTTCATGGATTTAGTGTTTGTTTTTAAATTGCCACCAGACATTGTGCTACTGATAGCACCATATTCTCTCCTGCTCTGCATTGGAGCACCTTCCTCCCTGAGGGATGTACTGTAGGCATGCTGCTAGGTGTTAATTGTCTCATAGGAGATAAGTTGGGGGCCAGACCCTGGGAGGTTCTTAGATAGTAAGCTAATAATCATATTGAAACCTTTGATGGTTTAAGAGTAAAGAAGCCATTTTATTAAAGAGCTGTCATGGACAAAAAAATGCTATGCATCAGGCCTGCTTGATAATGATGAATGATGAAAAAATTTTATAATACGTATTGTTCAACATGGTAGCCATCAGTGCCTTGTGTATCTGTCAGTGCTTTACCAGCCATAAAGCATGAAGGGAGAGCATGTAAGCTTAGGCGCAAGAATATATGGAAAATCTACCTTCAGTTTTGTTGTAAACCTAAAACTGCTTTAAAACATCACTTATTAATAAATCATTAAAGTATCTAAACATTAATTGAAAGGAGTTGGTGTGGGTTCATCTCAGTAAGTCAGACCCTGAAGGCAGAGACTTTGGAATTTTTTTTAACTTTTATTTAATGAATATAAATTTCCAAAGTACAGCTTATGGGTTACAATGGCTCCCCTCCCCCCATAACTTCCCTTCCACCCGCAACCCTCCCCTTTCCCGCTCCCTCTCCCCTTCCATTCACATTGAGAATCATTTTCAATTCTCTTTATGTACAGAAGATCAGTTTAGCATATATTAAGTAAAGATTAAAGATTTCAACAGTTTGCACCCACATAAAAACACAAAGTGTAAAATACTGTTTGAGTACTAGTTATAGCATTAAATCACAATGTACAGCACATTAAGGACAGAGATCCTACATGAGGAGTAAGTGCACAGTGACTCCTGTTGTTGACTTAACAAATCAACACTCTTGTTTATGGCATCAGTAATCACCCTAGGCTCTTGTCATGAGTTGCCAAGGCTATGGAAGCCTTTTGAGTTTACCGACTCTGATCATATTTAGAGAAGGTCGTAGTCAAAGTGGAAGTTCTCTCCTCCCTTCAGAGAAAGGTACCTCCTTCTTTGAAGACCTGTTCTTTTTTCACTGGGATCTCACTTGCGGAGATCTTGCATTTAGGTTTTTTTTTTTTTTTTTGCCAGAGTGTCTTGGCTTTCCATGCCTGTAATACTCTCATGGGCTTTTCAGCCAGATCCGCATACCTTAAGGGCTGATTCTGAGGCCAGAGTGCTGTTTAGGACATCTGCCATTCTATGGGTCTGCTGTGTATCTCACTTCCCATGTTGGACCATTCTCTCCTTTTTTTGATTCTATCATTTAGTATTTGCAGACACTATTCTTGTTTATGTGATCCCTTGGTGTGGTGTTTTTTTCTCGGTGTACTATGACTCTAGATTAAGTGGACTGTCTGCTTTTGATGGATCCTTAGAGGCTGTGTTGGGTGTTGCCAGAGAGCTCTGTTTGGTTCTTCAGGGTTAAGGGTGTGCCAAAGGTGATTCACCAGATTGTTCTCTCCCTCCCTTGCTCTCTATTTTTTTTTTTTTTTTTTTGACTCAGTTGGGAAGTAATTCCACACAGCTGAGTGGAATTGGGGGTAGTTGATGTATGAAATCTGGCCCCTGTGGGTAATCGTCTGCTTACCCCTGGGACCACACAAAGAGTTTATGCAGCCCTCAGTGTGGTCTCAAATTTCTCAGCAGTCTCTCACCAGGTTGCCCAGGTTACCAAGTTTGTGTACTCGGTGAGTTCTCTTGCCCCCCCTCAGATTTTCACAGTCTCAGTTCATTAGCTCCGCACTTTCACTAGGTCTTAACCTCTTGTTATTTCTCCCCACCAGAGTCAGGTTTTTCTGCTTGGATAATGGCTGGCGCCACTTTACATACGTAAAATGGAGCCTGCTCTTTGTCTTGATCGGCTTTCTAAGGTGAGTGGAGAGAGAGGCTAATGTCCGTGCAGGTTCCCCTTATTTATTCATTTTTTTCTCTCCTCCAGTCAGCCTGGTGAACTTTCCCCTGTGGGGTTTCAGGCCTCATTCCCTCTAGGCTCTTTCTGCCTTTCCCGGCCAATGTCTCCGGTTACCGGGGTTTTTGTCTCACCTTCCCTTCCAGAGCTGGTGCGCAGACTCTGTGGCTGGGCTCCTGTGGCGGCTAGGCTTCTGCAGCAGCTGGGCTCCTGCGGCTCGGCTTCCACGTGATGGGCGACCTTGCTCTCCCCGTAGGTCCTCTGTGTCACATCCACTAGATCTGGAAGAGTTTCCTCTGCAATTTTTTCTTGTCGCTACAGTAACTCCACTTTTATTAAACTATCTTTTCCCGGACTATTGGTGTGGGCCCTCACTATTCTGCCATCTTGGCTCCTCCCCAACTTTGGAATTTTTATCTCTATCTTTTAGAAAGCATAAGAAAGACAAGTACCTACTTCTTTGTTTTGTTAAGGACTAAGATTAAGGATTAAGGTTTGTTACAATTTGAAGTCTGAATGCTACCTTTATGGTTTTTTGTTTTTTAAATGCTTGACTCCTACAGCCCCTCTGCCCTTCTTTTTCCAAAGATAGTCAAATACTGGTCGTTGATTATGAGACCATGCATCATTTAAATGCACTTCTATTGGGAGAGGCCTCCTAAGTCAAGATGATGGCAAAGTGAAGCCATTTGAATGCAAGATGGGCATTTGGGGTGAGTTGTTGTATGAGTCAGAAAACACTGGATTCACCAAAGTTTGCTTCTTGCCAGAAGGTATGACGTGTAGGACTTTGAAAGATTAATTTATCACCAGTCTCCCAGTGATATAAGGAGAAATATGTTGTTCTAAGATACAATATGTATAGAGTAGAATTGCTTAATAAAAAATACTAAAATATTACAATGGAATCTTTCAAAATCATGTCAATCAACAAGATGCATTTCAAGTGCAAGTTTTTTGTAGTTGGGGGGCAAGGTTCAATGCTTTACTCCATTATTTTACATAAAACCATGATGATTTTTAGGGACTTCTTAAAAAAAATACCAAGGTTGCAGATAACTATGGGCTGGCTCCATCTCTGCCTTTTTCCATCTCTGCCCTCTTTTGAATGAATGATTGTGGTGGGACCTGGAGGGGACCTACAAAAAGACTGTAGGTAACTTAGCAAAAATCTACCAACTGCTTTCACAAATCCAACTCAAAAATCCTATATGAAGCACAGTGCTTTTCATTTCCATCTTTCTCTTCTCTTTTCAGTTTGAAAAAGAGTTTACAGACCACCAAGAAACTCAGGCTCAATTGCAGAAAAAAGAGGCAAAGATTAATGAGCTTCAAGCAGAGTTGCAAGCTTTTAAATCTCAGGTAAAATACCAGTTGGAGTGATTCTGGTGTTGAATCCATGCTAGGGGAGCAAAGTTCATGTTACATCTTCATAAGATCAAAGTATTTAAACTTTAATTTCACCTGCATGCTTTCATATTCCTGTTTCTATGTACTTGTGTTTAGTTCTATAAATTTTACTTTGGAATGTTTTTCCTATTTATATTTTTAGAAATATCTCAATTTTTATTAATTGCTCTATGTGCTTTTTCCAGTTTTCTTCCTAATGTCATATCTTCTCTAAGTAATTAAGTATAAAGGTTAAGAAAGTCTTTTACTTGTAGATTTGTCATTCATCACTGATCTTTATCCAGTACAGGAAATTATTGCTCAATCTATTTATTTTTCAAAACCTTCAGCCGATGGGTTCCTTGCAGTGAAAGATAACCTCTAGCTGAATGAGAACATTTTCTGATAATTTTTCAATTTCCAAAAGTAAACAGATTTAAAACATGACAAAAGAAGCAAATCTGTATTATGAAGCAGATAGCTCACATCCACCCTCTCCACGTAAAACATTTAGATAGTAAGAAGTACATCATCTCTGTGCTTTATAAGAATGGGAAGTAAGGAGGTAGAATTTTCTTAGCTAATTTTTCAGATAGATGTGCATCAGGATAATGAGCAGTAAGTATAGTTTTGCTGTTTTTTGTTTAGCCTAATGTATGGTTATATTAAAATAGTCTCAGGTATACCATTTTGTATATTGTTGGCAATTTTGCTTTCTTTAAAAGACTTAGTGGATAGTTGTCACAAAGATTATTTTGAGGATACCATTAAGGATAGCCAGCTATCTATTATTGTTTCATTTTGGAAATTAAAGAACTATAAGAAAATAATTTTTTAAAAAGATTTACTTGGAAGACAGAGTTAGAGATGGAGAGGCAAAGGGAGATCCTCCATCCTCTGGTTCACTCCACAAATGGCCAGGACTGGGCCATATGAAAGTAAGGAGACAGGAGCTTCATCTGGGTCTCCCATGTGGGTGTAGGGGCCCAAGTACTTGGGCCATCTTTCACTGCTTTTCCCAGGTGCATTAGCAGGGAGTTGGATCATAAGTGGAGAAACCGAGACTCCAACCAGAGCTCATAACAGATGCTGGCACTATGGGTGACGGCTTTACCTGCTACACCACAGCACTGGCCCAGGAAAATGAGTCTCACGCATGATGTTTCCACCATCTGTGAGTTCACTACGCAAATGGCTGCAACAGCTAAAACTGGGCCAGGCCAAAGCCACAAGCTTCATCCAGGTCTCCCACGTGGCTACAGGGGCCAGGTACTGTGGCCATCCTCTGGTGCTTTCCCAGGTGTATTAGCAGGGAGCTGGATTGGAAATGAAGCAGCTGGGACTTGAACAGACATCCATATGGGATGGTGGTGTTGCAGGTGATGCCTCAACCTGCTGTACATGACCTTTCTTTAGTGCTGCAATTTGATAGTATTATCTTCCATTGAATTTGTTCAGTTTTCCTATTTGGATCCTTGTCTGTCATATTAAAAAGAGGAGCATTTACATTTCGAACTTCACGATGAGTTATAGACAAGGGTTGAAATACATTAGACAAGTTTTTCCTGGTCTTTACTAATATAAATTTAAGGACTTTGCCCCCCTTATTGAATGATTTCTTATAGATTATTCTAGAAAATTGTAATATGTAAATGTTTTTATATATACACACACACATACTCACACCTCACCCCCACTCATTTTTGGATAAGTTGCTGCATGGTGCTTTTTTATAAAAGTAGAATAAAATTAGTTGTGAAACAAAAATTAAGGAATCTCCTGAATTCTTTTTACATTGTAGGTGGTGTGATGATCTGTTTTTATAGCTACCAGAAAAAAGCCTAGAATTAGAAACTTAATATTTACCACCATATTCATTTCTTTGGATTTTAATTTGTAGTTCTCATGAAATTTATATTCCTTCTTTTTTTTTTTGTCAGAGCTGTATTGATGAAAATTGTGAATAAAATATCTACTAATCTGTGATCTCATTCTTTTAATTATTCACCAACCAAGTAATTCTTAGGTGCTGTGGATATAGTGATGAGCAAGATAGTCAGGGTCAGGCCTCCCAAATCATATTTGCCGGCCAATCATTTTATCAAATGAATCATGCTACAACAGAAGTGCAACCGTATCTTTGTTTTGAGGCATTAATATTTAAGTACAAAATGTATGTGTGTGTGAATATAATACAAATAAACCCTGACATTCAAAGGACAGTACCATCTTTGTCATAGCAACCTGGGGTAACATTAGACTAGCTGTGCTTTATGCTTAGTGTTTTTGATAAGACATGCTCTTTGATTTGGGCTTTCAACTTCTTTTCTAACACTGTCTAAAGGTGTTATATATTTTTTTCCTCTAGTTTGGTGCCTTGCCAGCTGATAAGAGTATTCCTTTGACATCAAAAGAAGCTGGAAGTGGCCACCCAGCACCACCTCCTGCTCCTCCACTGCCCTCCTGTGGAGGAGTGCCACCTCCACCCCCTCCTCCACCCCCTCCTCCACTTCCAGGAATGCCAATGCCACTGGGGGGTCCTGTGCCTCCACCACCTCCCCTGGGATTTCTTGGTCCAAATTCTCCACCACCACCAGCACTGCCTTTTGGATTGAAACCAAAGAAAGAATTTAAACCTGAAATCAACATGAGAAGATTAAATTGGTTAAAGGTAAAAGAAGTTAGAGAAAAGTTGGAGGAAAATATAGTTTTACCTGACTTAAAATTCATTTGGATTTATATATAATTTCCAGTGGGCATACTAATGAAAATGACACAAAAAAAAGAATGGTACTTTTTAAAAAACATAACAGTTTTGAGACACAAAGCCCTTTAATATTGACAAAGGCTTTCCCTGGTTTATAAATTTATTAACAATTGGTAGTATTACAATAAAATTTAATTTGTAATTAAATCAGTAATTCAATATTATGATTATAGCCTATAGTTATGAAACATTTCTCAAATGCACAAAATGTTAGTTTTCTCTGTTGTTACTTGTTGGGAAAAGTATTCATAGTGGTTAGAAGCTGATAAATTTGGTCACAGGAATTATGAATCTTGCAGAAAGATGGTTTCCTGGTCACGTAAACTTGGGAAATTCTGTATAATGTATCTTGTGCTTTAAGACATAGTGCAGGTGACCGTTATTCAACACTCTGAATTATGCAGTAGAGAAGGAACAAATTAAACTTTATTTCATTCAGCTTAAAATCCCTAACCATTTATTTGATCTTGGAAACTTTTTCTTCCTAATAAGACTTTAACATCTGTAGAACTTGTAGTGGTTCAGTGTGATTTGGGAAAAATTTTTAGAGATTACTTTGTACACATCCTCTGGCAAGTATGGAATTGTAGATCTATACATATTGGGCTGGGACAGGTGAAACACTGAGCTGTTTTTGAGTCATTCTTGTCTCCGATTACAGATCAGACCGCAAGAAATGACTGAAAACTGTTTCTGGATAAAAGTAAATGAAACTAAGTTTGAAAATGCTGATTTGCTTTGTAAACTTGAGAATACATTTTGTTGCCAACAAAGAGGTAAATTTAACTTCATTGTTTGTTTATTAACTTATGTAATTTTTAAAAAAATTAGAACATATCTTTTTTTTAAATATTTTATTTATTTATTTTTAAGAGGAGCAGTTACGGACAGGAAGGGGGAGACAGAGGAAAAGTTCTTCCATCTGCTGGTTCACTCCTCAAATGGCCAGAGCTGGGCCAATCTGAAGCCAGGAGCTCCCTCTGGGTACAGTACCCAAGCACTAGGGCCATGTTCCACTGCTTTCTCAGGCCACACGTAAAGAGCTGATTGGGGGAGAAGCAGCCAGAACATATACCGACACCCATATAGATTAATAGTGCTGTAGGCGGAGGCTTAATCTACTTTACCACAGCACTGGCCCTTACTTTTATAATTTTAACATTGCTACTTTTTATATACCAACCTCTATAAAACATTTTAAGAATCCTATATGTACTTTTTACATTTTTAATGGGTAAGTGATCTAAGGATGTTGTTTAAAAAGCAGATTTTGTTATACAGTATATATTTTAAATTTTAAAAATGCAAGTGGTTAATAGAAACTTTGTTAAATTTTTGACATGTTTTTCAAGTTGTCCCACTTAAGTAAATCAGACTTTTATAAAGGAGGATATTTTCAGAAATAATTTTCACGTGATCATCTCCTTAAGAGAATATTTAGAAATTTAAAAAAATGGGGGCTGTTGCTGTGACGTAGCAGGTAAAGCCTGCAGTGCCAGTATCCCATAGGGGTGCCGGTTCAAGTCCCCTGGCTGCTCCACTTCTGATCCAGCTCTCTGCTATGGCCTGGGAAAGAAAGCAGTAGAAGATGGTCCAAATGCTTGGGCCCCTGCACCCACACGGGATGACCCAGGGGAAGCTCCTGGCTTCTGGCTTTGCATTGCTGCAGCTCCAGCTGTTTTGCCCAACTGGGGATTGAACCAGCAGATGGAAGACTACTCTTTCTCCCTCTACCTCTCCTCTCTCTGTATAACTCTGATTTTCAAATAAATAAATAAATCTTAAGAAAAAACAAAAGGAATTTTCCTCTGGTTAGAATTTTGCCACACTTTGGTATCACAGTGACTGTCACATAATTTAGTCAATTGGTATGAGTTACATGAAACAAATCTCAAATTGATGAAGTCTTGAAAGTTTTCTGGGAAAATTTTGATTGGATTATACAATCTTTTCATTAAAAGCAATGGCATTCGTTTTCCAGGTTGTTTTGTGCTTTTATAGTGTGATTTAAAAAATAAAAAAGGTATTGCTCTTTTCTGAACTCTGAATTTATTTCATTCAGTCTCAGGAGCCTGCAACTTAAATTTCAAGGCTGATAAGATACACTGTTAATGTTTAAGTATTATGTAAAACTCACATTTATGGTCTATAGCACAAACCACTTAAATCAATCATTAATTACCCTTTGACAAAAATTAAAGAACTTTTTACACTATAGAGATATGCTGCTGATATCCCTGAGCTCACCAGACACAAATTGCTGACAGGGAGAGACTGTACCAGAAGGATGAGGGTGGGGGCTTGGTGGAGAGAGGGAAGCAATGATTTCTTAGAATGCCTACTATTTACTATGTACCATGTTGGAAAAACTTACACCTCTGACTTAACCTCATCATCACAGCAACAGAAGAAGGTTGGCAGATACTTGCAAAATTCATTTGCATTCCTGTGAAATGTTTTCTAAAAGATAAATGTAAAGTAGGAACTCCTTCTGAAAAAATAATTGTGGATTACAAACTCTTCCAAAAAACTATCTGTAGATTAAACTAGCTTTCTAGAATTTGTGGTTAACCAAGTCTTCAGCAGATATTTTTAAGCACCATTGGTCTTGACTAAAATATTATAAATGATATATTTTGATCTTTGTGAATGGAGAATTTTCTCAGCAAGTTTACCATTGGAAAAATTGTGAAGTAAGCAGATCTTAATTTTACCTTTTGATTATGGAGAATCAAAATTTTCTTTGAATAAGATTAGTGCACTCTTCAGGCAATCAAGGGAAATATGTGGCAGTTAAAATGTGTATTTACATGTAAAACACTTTGGAATTTCAGATTTCATAATCTGGATTTGATTAGTTTTCCCTTTGGCTTTCCTAGTAGGTGCAAATGGTGATACCCAGAAGCTATTTAAGTAATGCTGCTATCCAGCTACTCTTTTTTTTCCTGCTCTTTACTCTGATTACTTTCTTAATTAATGAGGCTTAAAAGGGAAACTTGTTAGCATGTCTTTAATTTAACTGTAGTGTTAGCCCTAAATGAAATAATTGGGCCTTTAAAAAATTCTTAAGTCATCTAACTTTAGCTTTGAGATTCAAGGTGGGGGGAGGGGGGTAAAGAATCAATGTACTTGCTCAATTTAATGCATTATAAATATTGTGAGAAATTATTTTTATTCTGGGTATTCTGTGTTTCCAAGCCTCTCTGCCTTTGTATATGCTGATCCCTTAGCTTGGAATCTCTTTCACTGGACTGAGAGACTGGTAGAGGACAAGGACATCTTTTGCTTCCTCTGAGATGCTGTGTTCCCTTTTCTGTGACAGTAGATGTAATTTCCAAGGTCAGCAGAAGAGATGGGGAAACCCTGGGTTGTGACCCTATGTAATGCTAACATTTCATAATACCATCTGGAGATGAGCTGTGAAACTATTTTTTGGTCTGCTATGTAGAGGATAAATTCTAGACAATATTTTTTGGGGAACCCTAAGTGTGCCTTTTGGTATTACTAGTAGTTATATGTATTTTATTGGTAAAGGCCTGTCATTTCTGCCTTCAGAGCAACATGATTTTATATAGATAGCTCTAGTTAAGCCTTCCAGCTTGCTTTCTTACTCCTTTTTAATCTTAGGTTCAACACTGGGCTGGTGGATTGGATACCTTGCTCCATCTTGTTGCCATTCATGGCCTGGCAGCTGAGGCACTAGTTCAAAATGTTATATGCCTGTTTCCCTTGACTCCAATGGTTATTTTATTTGAGTCAGTTTTGTAACTTCTGTAAATCTGGAATTAAAGCTGGTCATTTACACATTTTTTCAGTTCTAGATGAAAATTAAGTTGCCTCTCTACTCCTTAACAAGGGGCGAGGGGTGTATAATTGAGGCCATTAGATGCTGGCTGATTTGCCTCACTACTAGGCAGGGAAGTACACAGAAGGTAGATTGCTGGTGAATGGTTGGATTTTAGAGAAATGATCTTTCTTTTCTTTCTTTCTTTCTTTCTTTTTTTTTTTTTTAAGTTGCAGTAACTCTTGACTAAGAAATGGAGTGATTTCTTTGATTACAATGACGGCTCTTCCATCCCAAGCATCTAAAATTGTATATGCCAGTCTTATGTGGTTTGTACACATTTTCAGTGGGTTGTAAGAACAGGAGAAATTGACCCAGTCATTTAAAGAGAACCTTGATATTTTCTGTTATACCGTCACATAGTCTTTATTTTTGTTGACAAGTGTGGATTTTTTTTTTTTTTTTAACAGTCGCCACTACTATAGCTTTCTGGAACTTTTAGGTTCAGATTACTGGGGTTTATAGAGGACCAAGTGGAGCTAGTGCTTTTGAGCACCTGTGATGTACCACTCTCTGAGCTGGCTCTTGTTTTTATTGTTTAATCTGGATGACATTTCAGCTGAGATCTTTTCTGTTGCTCTGTTGATTGCAAAAACAATTCTGACTTCTCACAAAACCATTCTGTTCCAGTTACCTGTAGATACACTAAGATACTCTTGACGAGATTGGACATTTCTTTTTCACTCCTGTTTTCCTATATTGTATTTTAAATTTACTTGTTAACTTGTATCTTTCTTTTCTTAAACTAATCTGTAATTATTTACAACATTGTTTTAGTGGAAATGTGCCTTGTGCCATATCTTGCAAAGTACAGAAAACCTTTCTAAGCTTTTGTGGTGAAATCAACTATTTTTCCCCATTCACTTGTACATTTATTCTTTTACATTTTGCTATAAAGTGTCTCACTTTGGTTTTCCTGCTTCTGAGTTTTTGAGATCCATTTTAGCTTTCCATGTTTTAAATTCTTCTGGCAATATCTATGGGTATTTCCCCAAATTATTCTTTATTTTCTTTTTCTCCTCTCTTGTTTCTCTTTCCATTTGGTTACCACTATTCAAGTCCACAGATATTTATTGGATGTATATTCACATTATATGTTGGTCCTGTGTTTGGCCTAGGGCACCCTGCAATGTATAAATTAGACACACTCTCTGTATCCCTGTAGCTTTTACAGTTTTCATGAATCTCAAAGTTCTCATTTGATACATAAGAATGAGAGGTGGAACAGCAAATGCTGGTTTTGATTTTTGGAAAGATTGCCATATTTCACTATCTTTGGCTTCTGTTAATACTTAACAAGGTTATAATAGAACACGGTTAATATATCTGAAATGTAATCACAATATTCATGTATTGAACATTTGGTATCATCAAAATAATGCTAATGACCTGTGTATTTTTTACTAGATTGGAAGCATCTGTTGGTTAATTTTTACAGGCTGTTGGAAAATGGATTAAAGAATACTAACAGGTTATTGATGTTAGATTTGTCAACTAAAATTAATATTAATTACTTTCATTATTCACAAACTGTTAACTTAATAGGGATTAAAGAGCTTTCTAGAAGTATATGAATAGTCTAATTCAGTTAGACTGATTTATTATGAAAATGTGGTTCTACAATTGTTAGCTTTCGGAAGTAATCACATTTTATAACAGGTGCATCATATTTTCCAGATAGGGCCAATAAACTAGTTTATGAATAATCTCTCAACTGAATAGTTATGGCATATGGAAACAGTTAATGGATTATGCACTTAAAAACAAATCAAGCTTAAATTTCTGACAACATAGTTCAGTGGACAAAGTATTGGGAGTAGTAAGCGATAAACCCTGGTTTATCCCTGAGACTTGGCTGTGTTTGAGATGTCCTTTTATATTTAAAACACTGTTTCTCTGTGTGAACAAATGTATATGAAAGGTCCAAAACTA